CGTGCATTAGGGCCTTGTTGAATTCACTAACATTTTCCTACCCTGACGAGCGAATATCCTACCGAACAAAGGAAAGAGATATTGGCTCAAAACCAACTATAGCTGTGAGTTTACGTAACCAGGGACCTCAGTACCTGCCACAGATGGGCTAACTAACCAAAAACTCTTCAGTTTTGATTATAGGTAGTGTTGATCGAATGTATGGTGTATATTTAAAATTTTAGCACAAGAACAGGGGCGGTACCTAGTTTCAACTTTTATTGAAGTAATGACTCACAATTATTATTAAAATGACACAGTACGTTTCGATTTTTGAGGAGTAGATCGAGGGTTTCTCTGCCGTGCTCTTTCCCCTCTTGAATTCCAGGTCGAGAACGGTACGATTTACTTTAAATAAAGTAGACGTTTCACAAATTTTTCGTTTCTTTTACGTATCACAATTTCCCTTAAATTTCCCAAATATTTGCTATGTCGGGCGCATGTCCAGTGTGTGAAATTGAGTAAGTTTCCACAACGTAGGTCCTATTTGTTTTTCATTTCATTCAGAAGAAGATTTGTTGTTTGAAGGTAATAAAAATTCTCATCGTTCAATCTTACTGAACGAACCCGGGTACGTTATACTACACTACAAAAAAGTCCTTTGTTTAGAGTATTTTGATCATTCAAAAACTGTAGTACAGTTTCCGCAGATGCTTATCTTTTGCTGTACTTACCTTTTTCAGAAGGATAAAAAAGGAGAAAAGAAAATAGTTTGTTACATCTCCAGATTATTGTCTTAAACAGAATCACGATATGCACAAATCGAACGGGAAAGTCCTGCGCTAACATGGGCTTGCGAAGAATTTTCCGAATATATTTCTGGAATTTTAATCGAGACAGACCACAAACCGTTAGTGCTAGTACTCCAAAATAAACCTATTGATGATCTAACTGCCAGGTTACAAAGATTCCTATTAAGACCCATGCGTTACGATTACGAGATTTATTATGTACCTGGCAAAGACTTGGTGGTTGCCGATGCGTTATCTCGAAAATTTCCAGATATTAAATTACATGATGAATTAACGCTCGAAACAGATATTCACGCTAATTAAATTACCTACCAGTTCTTTAGAAGTAAAACCTTATCTTTTGGAAGAAATTAAAACTGAACAAATTAACGTCGTCGTGTGACAAAAATTACGTGCATATACCAGGAAAGGTTGGCCTTTAAACAAAAATCCAATAGAAAATGAACTCTGGCTATATTATCAGTATCGGTTCGAAATTTCGGAAGGTGAAGGTTATTTATTGCGCAATACTAGACTTCTAATTCCGTACTCCTTACAGCAAAAAATTTGTATATCAACGCAGATTGAAAATTTAGTAAAAAAATGTCCCCAATAGGTAGAAAACAGAATTAATAAAAAAGAACCATTTGTGAAAAATTAATTCCAATTCCCTGATAGAGCGTGACAAAAAATTTGTTCAGATTTAGCCAAGAAAAATGGTATAGTTTATCTATTCTCAATTGAACCACCATAAAAAATAGGTCTCCATCAACAGTCGGCGTTCTCTTTATGAAGCATAGGCGGCGAGGTTTCCAAAAATGTTTCATAATATAATAAATCAATATAATTTAGATATTATTCTACGTAAAATTTAATTTATATTTATTATAATATTTTAGATTTTTAGGAATACACAAGCCCCAGTACCGTTTAGGAGATATTTAAAAAAAATTTTAAACAATTATTTCATGAAAATATACATAAGGTTCGTTTCACCAGGGTTCATACTTGACCTTGAAACTTGTAAAAAAAGGGTTGGTTGTCGTAGATTAATTCATATGACACATTCAATTTTTTTGACAAATTGAAATGAATGACTTCTGGTTTATGAACCGACGAACATTTTTAACGTCATTGATTTGTTTCAGTCAATTTTTATTGGTCAAACAAAGAAGGCAAATGCTGGTGGCAAGTACAAACCCTGGCGAAACAAACTTTATTTACGACTAATGTATAATGTGCTTATTATATTTGTGATTTTGGCAGTATAATGACATATGTTATTCCTCCAGGGATTAATGACGAGTAGCGGGATTAATGGTCATTATTCCACAAAAGTGTCAGTGTCAAACGTGTAGTGCTTGTGGATTTGTATTGAAAATTATGAGATGGATGAAATTTGTTCATTGAAAATCTCAAATAAATTAATTTGTCGTAAATAAAGTAGAGTATACTACTCGCAATAATGGCTATTATTCCCTCGGAATGTTACTCCCTCGCCGCTAACACGGCTCAGTTCGTAATAATCCTCGGGAATAATAGCTATCATTATTGCCTCGTGGTATAATCTACTATTACGTATAAACCTGTCTCCGACTCTGACAAAAAAAAAAAACTATTGTGAAAGTACACCGTCGACGCCGCGCAGTCGCGTCGCCCAGGCAAATAAACATGAAAATATCTTTTCGAAATTTCGTTCTGATAACCAGTATTTCATTTTGTCGATTGTAGTTTCTAGTAAGGTATATTCAAAACATTTATTTAGGTTTTTTGAGTATTTATTCACGACAAAGGTGCCTAATATTTGATCGTACCTTATACATAGCTTGAAAATAAAGTGGTTCAATTCACAATAGATAAACTATAACCGATTACTTTTCGCGTTTTATTGAAATATTTCAACGCATCACTTCTCTGACAGCTAATGCAATCATCACCAAGCTGAAAGAATTGTTTTCCAGATTTGGAATTGGTACCTACCTACCTGAAATTGTGAGGTCAGATAATGGAGGTTGGTTTAGGCGAGAATTTATTCAATTTGCCCAGGAATACGACCTTGGGAGAACCTTAAAGGCTTTCCCAAACCAACGCGGAAAATTCGCAACGCCTACGAATATTCGCACCGCAGACGATTCGCAACAAATTGTTTTCACTGCGGTAAATAGACAAGTTCAAACTGGGGCGGCTTTCTCCGGTTTGGCTGCGATTTATCTGCGTTTTTATCCGCACGGAAGTTTCGCGGATTCCGGAGAAAGTCTCACACCAAAGCGAACTTAATCGTATCATTTACGTCATATTTCCAGTATCCAATATGCTTGCTGAATGCTAGTGTTAGTGCTAGAAAAGAATGACAAATTGTTTGCTTGCCTAAAAAAATGTATACATCATCGGATGAAGAAGAAGCAATATTGTTCCTTGCAGTGGAAGCCTAGTTCTTCTCCTAGTTTAGCCGCGGAACATTCGCAACACCTACGAAAATTCGCACCGCAGACGATTCGCAACGAATTGTTTTCACTGCGGTAAATAGACAAGTTCAAACTGGCGCGGTTTTTTCCGGTTCGGCTGCGATTTATCTGCGTTTTTATCCGCACGGAAACTCAGTTCGCAATCGAACGCGTTTTTGGTACGATTTGCAGTAATTCCGCAACGTTATAAAGTGAAAAATAATCAAAATGGAACAAATTATTGAATAAGCTCGAAAGTACGCTATTCTATATATGACCTTTCTCATGACGACTATAAAAATGTGCGCAAAAAAGATAAGGTTTGGGCTAAACTAGGAGAAGAAATAGGTGGAAATTAAACCCTCTTCTTCCACTGCAAATAACAATCTTGCTTCTTCTTCATCCGATGATGTATACATTTTTTTTAGGCAAGGAAACAATTTGTCTTTCTTTTTTAACACTAGTACTAGCATTCAGCAAGCAAATTGGATACTGAAAATATGACGTAAATGATGCGTTTATGTTCGCTTTGGTGTGAGACTTTCTCCGGAATCCGCCATCAAATTCGCTGCGGATTCTCCGTCACGAATCCGCTGCGGAAAATTCGCAACACCTACGAATATTCCCACCGCAGACGATTCGCAACAAATTGTTTTCACTGCGGTAAATAGACAAGTTCAAACTGGCGCGGTTTTTTCCGGTTCGGCTGCGATTTATCTGCGTTTTTATCCGCACGGAAACTCAGTTCGCAATCGAATGCGTTTTGGTCCGATTTGCAGTAATTCCGCAACGTTAAAAAGTGGAAAATAATCAAAATGGAACAAATTATTGAATTAGTTCGAAACTACCCGATGCTATATGACCTTTCTCATGAAGACTATAAAAATGTGCGCAAAAATGATAAGGTTTGGACTAAACTAGAAGAAAAACTAGGCGAAAATGGTAATTTGAAACTTATTACTTATTCATGGAAATAATCATTAAATATTTTAGTAAAAATTTTACCATTATTATAATGTAGTGCACGCGGGACCATTCATTTATATTGTTTTCAATAATAAAAAAAGCAAATTGGATATTGAAAATATGACGTAAATGATGCGATTATGTTCGCTTTGGTGTGAGACTTTCTCCGGAATCCGCCATGAAATTTGCTGCGGATTCTCCGTCACGAATCCGCTGCGAATAATTCGTGTTGGTTTGGGAGAGCCTTAACTCTCCACTTGTTTTGAAGCCGGAAACGAGAAATCGATAGGAACATTTTCCTCTTATTCTGAGACTGCGCATTAACCTTCTTCATAAGAGATTGAATGGTTTACTGTGCTTTCATTTTCACGACGACAGGCCACGCGGTACATTCTCGTGTTTAGCCTCTACGATAGTGATTTACAGGAAGTTTTTTTTGTGTTCAATTAATAATACCTAGTTCAATAATTCTGTGAACGGACATTATGGTTGTTTATTGTTTTGTTTGTAAAGACAACCGAAAAACTAGCCCGGAGCTTGGATATTTTGGTTTTCCAAATGATGAAAGATTGTAAGTAAATTTTTATAGGTACCTAATATTATTAATTTTCTCTTTAATAACTTGTTGGTAGCTTTTTTTATCATTTTCTGAGTGTATGCTCATCATCCTAACCTAACTAAAGCTGATTAAAATCCCAGTTTATGCTTAATAAATAAAGCAAACCCTATATAAAATTAAATGTGTGTGAAAATAATATGGCAATCAGAATAATTGATTTAAAAAAAAAAAATTGCCAGGCTATTTATTATGCATTAAAATATGGATAATAATCAATATATTAGGTATATTCACTGATGCGAAATGTTATTGTTATTGGTGTTGTTATTTTCATTTTTGGTTACAGGTGTGCTTCATGGTTTGAAGCAATTCAGCAGCCAAGGCTACCACACCATACTTTCGAATTTTGCCACAAAAATTTAAGAGTATGCTCCCAACACTTTGAGCCAAAAGACATTTCGACAAATAAAATTCGAAAACGGCTTCACCCTGATGCTGTTCCAGTTTTTGGCCTTTGTGTAAGAGCACCAGAATCTGCACCTATTGTTCCAGTTGCTGATACCCTTCCACAAGCACTTCCAGAGCCTTTTATTCTCATAGATGTTTTGGATGAACCTAATACTAATACTGGTAATGTTTCTCATCAGTTTGAGCCACAGCCTTCCACCTCCACTGCAAAAAATGACTCACCATTTAAAGGTATGTACCTACTACTTATGAAAATTGTTATTTTTAGCTTTTTTAAAAATTGTGTTTGCCAAAATATAACTTACATGCCTACTTAATGACTATTTTACATTTACATATTTACAGAATTTATTTATATTATACCTTTCCTAGTAAAATGGTCGTTACTGCTATAGCTTGGTCAATTCATTGGGTTTTCAATAAATTTGAGGATTCAGGTAGCTAGACTCAATGGTTATTTGTTCGGATTTAGTCAAGGAAATGGTATTTGGTATCTGATCGTAACTGATTACTTTTCGCGTTTTATTGAAATATTTCAACTCTGTTTAGGCGAGAATTTATTCAATTTGTCCAGGAATGCGACTTTAAATTTATAACTAGTAGGTAGTCCGTATTATCCGCAGTCTAATGGAGCTATGGAAGCTGCAATTAAAATTGCAAAAAATTGATAAAGAAAAGAAGAGAAGGAGGACGTATATCTAGTTCTTTTGGCCTACCGGACCACACCTTTAGAAAATGGGTTTTCTCCCGTGGAGCTATTGTTTTATCGCAAAATACGTTCAAATCTCTCTGTCTACCAAAAGTTTTAAATCAAACGGTTGATACTAACCCAGTTTTTAAAGGGGAGGAAAGGAATCGTTGGCATTTGATTTTAACCAGATACCACACCTAATCATTTGGAATTTCAATCCATAGAACCAGTCACTCCAACGCTGTTACAAAAAGTTTCTGAGGTACCTAATTGCACTGACATAGGTGACTGTGATGAAGATAGGTTAAGTAGTGATTTCACGGAAAAAATTATTGCTCGCGAAAGTCTAGGTGAAACTGATAGTGCTGGACATTAAACAATCGCGGCCTATGAGAAATATCAAACGGCCTTCATATTTGAAAGACTATATCACTAACTAGCATCTATGAAAAGGGGCAAGTTCTGTCAACTCCCTTAAGTTAGAATAGTTTGTCTGGAGAATACCTATACTCAAACTGACAATTAAGGCTATGGTCCGAATATAACCAAATGTTTTGTCTACCAAAGTAACCGAACCGGTTGACAGATGGTTACTGAAAATTCCTGTTACTGGTGGAACGCAAATATGAAATAAGACATAATTGACAGTAATCACAATGGAAATTACAGATAAAACCAACCAAACCGACATCCGATAGCCAGTAACTATTTTGACATTTGGTTAACCAGACAGATTTCAGAAAACCGAGGTCCAAAAGTAATCACTTTTCCAGGAACCAGAGTAATTTGATTACTTTCGGACCGTCAAACCACAACCCTGGTTATATTCGGACCAAAGCCTTAGTTTTAATTGTGGTTGTTAATAACTTGCCTTTGTGAAGTTATTTCTCTAATGAAAGTTTAGTTTAATATCCAGATAATAATTATTATTTTGTTTTTGACAGTTCAATTATTTATACAAGTTTTTTTTTTTTTTCATTTTTATGTTTTGTTTGTTTGTTTATAACATTTTTATAACATGCGCATTTTTCATGTATTTAACACAAATTGTTTGCTGTAAACAACACAGATAAAGAGTAAATTAAAAACTAGAGAAACTATGTCTTTTAGTGCTGAAATTTTGATTTTGAGTATTCAGAGCGTGCATTAGGGCCTTGTTGAATTTACTAACATTTTCCTATTTTCTACCCTGACGAGAGAATATCCTAACAAATTGAAATAATCAATCTAGAGATATTGGCTCAAACACAACTATAGCTTAGTAGCTTCCCGTATGGGACCTCAGTACCTGCTGGGAAACTGGCTAACTAACCAAAAACTCTTCAGTATTGAATATAGGTAGTGTTGATTGTGTTAGGGACCGCTTCCGCCTTCCACCGGTTGGGGGTTTCCGCTGTCTCTAATATTAGGATTCGTGCCACAAGGACTGTGACTCAAATCCCGGTTACTTACACTAATTAAAACTATGTTTCTTGATTTAAAAAAAAGGTTTTGTTTATTAAATTATTTTTATTATTATAGAGAAGGCCACTTTTTCAGGTCTTAGAGATAACTATGATGTTATCAGAGTGAAGATGGAAATCTGAATATGAGGTTTTCCTGAAACGAAGGCAGTCAAGAAGGAAAGTAGGTATCTAAAGAGGATGGTTCTAAAATTATCTACTAAAAGTATATGACAGATTTTATATCGGTGCTAAAACATTTCATTACTATGTGACTTTTGAAAGTTTGTACAATAATAAAACTTAAACCTATTTTAGGCACGTAAGATAAATATTAGACATAACCGACAATGTAAAAATTCATAAATATAGGGTATCCAATAAAATAAGGTTTGGAAAGAAATAAACATGTTGAGCCGACAAAGGCATGGTCAGGCCTCTGTGGAACAGATGATAACAGTTGATAGGAAATAAAGGGAAATGTACAATTAAATGTCTTATGTGTTAATTACTCTGTTATAATTTTATTGGTTCCAAGCAATTGAATGTAGTGTGTGTATTTGAAATTTTAGCACAAGAACAGGGGCAGTACCTAATTTGAACTTTCATTGACTCGAATTATTGAATTAATGATTCACAATTATTATTATTTAAATGACACAGTACACAGTATGTTTCGATTTTTGAGAAATGTAGATCGAGGGTTTCTCTGCCGTGCTCTTTCCCCTCTTAGTTCCAGGATGAGAACGTTATGGTTTACTTCAATAATAAAGTAGACGTTTCACAAATTTTCGTTTCTTTTACATATCACAACTTCCCTTAAATTTCCCGGATATTTGCTATGTCGGGCGCATGTCCAGTAAATAAAATTGAGTAAGTTTCCACAACGTAGATCCTATTTGTTTTTCATTTCATTTTTCAGAGGATTTTTTGTTTAAAAGGTAATAAAAATTCACACCGTTCAATCTTACTGAACGAACCCGGGTATGTTATACTACACTATGATTGCTTCCGATAGTACTTTCCAACTCGTTTCGATGTCATGTTTGTTCGTAATTTCTTGGCGGTGCTCTTTTTCCGCCTAAAAGCGCCTTCTGATTTCTTCGTTTTCCAGTTTTGCTGTATCTCACTGTTAATCTTGGTTGGATTGTACATTCTTATATTGTATCTTCATCTTCAATGGTTTCCAAAAACCCCATGCAGGTACTTAATTTATTCCGGACACCTTGTATAAGTGCCTACTAGCAACCTGATTAAACTCACATAGATTTAGGTTAGGACATGCTTTTATTGAATAAAAATATTTTGTTGAAGTAAGTACATACCTATTTTTCGCCTATTTATTCAAACTGTTGCTACGCCTCTGCCTATGACTGTTCCCTATTTTGAAGTGAAAACTTCTTTAGAATCGTTGGGAGTGATTTGAGACTCGATGAAACGAAAAAGCCACACTAAAAAGGGACAAACATATAGATCTATGGGATTTAGCCTGCGAGAGAATGAGATAGAATACAGTTGTACAGCGTTCCCTATTCTTCGTCTCCTCTTTGTGCGGTGCCTCGTAGTCTCGTCACTTTTGTCTACCAAGCGTTGTACGTACGTATGTTAGTATGTGTGTAATGTATGTGTGTGCGCCTGCGTATTACGGAGCTGGGCCGAGAGAAAAGGGCATCTATGATGCTATACATATGTATGTTAGTATGCCTGATGTGTGTGTGTGTGTGTGTGTATACGCGCTGAACGAAGAGGGAGTATACATATAGTATCTATGACTATGATGCTATGTATGTTTGTACGTGTATCAGTACGTGCGTGTGAGCGTCTACGTGTTACAAAACCGAGAGAAAAGGCATCATAGCGACCGTGCGTGCTGTATTCTGTATTGTTTTATGTTTTTATTTAATATTTGTGAATATTTCCATTCCCATAAAATATGCCAAAAACTAATGCCGAAAAGTGTCGTGAATATCGGCAGAAAGTAAAAGGAAATAAGGTAAAAAAGACTGCAAAAAGTTCAACGGAACGTGTACGTGAATTTCGAGCACGCTTTAAGGCATTATTGAATGTGCAACAAAGTGTTTCTTCTGTGCATAATGATGCATCTGCTGTACAAAATAGTGAAAACGATAATCGTGAGTATTTTTGAAGTGAAAAATTCTTTAGAATCGTTGGGAGTGGTTTGAGACTTGATGAAACGAAAAAGCGACACTAAAAAGAGACACACATATAAATCTATGGGATTTACCCTGCGATAGAATGAGATACGATACAATACAGTACAGCGATTCCTATTCTTCGTCTCCTCTTTGTGCGGTGCTTCGTAGCCCTCCTCACTCTTGTATACCAAGCTTTGTACGTATGTATGTTAGTATGTGTGTAATGTATGTAGTTCAATGAAGGTTTCACTTCTACCGGATGTGAATGTGAACTGCACACATATTTTTTTTTTTAGAATTTGATACCTGACAGCCCCAATATCTATTGTTCTGGAGCGGTCAAAAAGTGTTGAGAAGGTGAGCGCGTGCTACTCACTGAAAAAAATCTTCAAATATTTTGTTTAGCGCGACGCTGTGATAAATTTATACCACAAGCACAAGATGCTTGCGTTTATAGAGGTTTTTTGCACACGACTTCTATCCCAGTCGGAAATCCGCCTAGCAAGGCGGCAGCATCGTCGGTCGTCGCAGTCTAGGCAACCGATATGCACGCATAATGAGCACGCAAAACTAGACAGTGTAATAAGTGTACCTGTGCGTATTTGGTGCGACTATAGTGAATAAATACTACTTTATCTTGGACATTGAGCCAAATAATTTTCTAATAAGCATTAGAAAAAGAAAAAGAAATTCTTGATAGCAATTTTGATATTTATCTGTTGTTAGGGTAACAAAGTTTATAGCTTTGTTTTGGTTCGAAATTTGGAACGGTTCTGGAATTGCGCAGAACTGCTTGCGCACAAAAAATAATAGAGGACTGTTCTAATACTAGTTTTGAACCAATTCGGAACCAAAAAAACCAAAACACAAAATTCTAAAACAGTTCCTCCTTCAGAACAAGAACTGAGAGAACCGTTCTAGAACAATCCCAGAATTGTTCTC